TTCAATGTTATTACTAATACCAGAAAATATCCAGGTTGTTTCATTTGCCATTATTACAACTTTTTTTAATTCTTTGATCATCGGCTTAAATAGACCATCATTTCCACTAACAAAAGAAATAAAAACTAGTAAAACTATACCATTAAGCATAAATATATATTGAAGGCTAAATATAACTGTTTCACTCAGTTTTGAAATTTCTTTGTAATATCTACTAAGCATATGTTTATGTTAAACAGCTTTTTGAATATTTGGGGCTCATCCATGGGCATTTCCCTATAGGCAAACAGCAGTGGCAAATAGTTGTGCCTCTGCTACTTGTCCCTAGGGAAAGTCCCTGCACATGTGCTGTGGCATGCAGCATATTACCTGGGGTGAGGCCAGCACCTGAGCTGGTCCCACCAGCCTTACCAGGGGTTCTGGGGGCCTCCCATGGCTGCAGTGGTGGCAATCTGAGCACGCAGAGCCTGGCAGGTAGCCAGATTGTGGCTCTGGCTGGCCAGGCTCCAGTTCTGGGCAGTGCATGCCATTCCAGTTTCATTTTTTTTTTTTTTTGATACTCAGAGTTTACAGTATCTAATTTTGCCTCCATGCTGCAAATATGCTGCATGAAGAACCTATTCACATGCACCACATGCATTTTGTGGCACCTCAAAAGCCTTTGAGATGTCACAAAGCACTCATCCACGCTCATCTGGACATGCCCTTGGAATCTACACAGACCAGAAGCAGGACATGAAAGAGAACCGAGGTCTCTTAATTTCAGCCTTTTTGTCACACATTCATACAGATGAAAATCAACACTGATTGTTATAAATTATATAAAATTTGTCATAAAAAATACTTAAATGTTCTGATGAATAACAAAAAAATGCCACAAAGTCAAATGAAAAACATGGTGTGATGCCAGAATAACGTGACTGTTCTATTTCAGATTCACCACATATAAGATTGGCTTGATCTTTTTCTCAGTATTACTTATGTGAGCATGTGACCAAGTGCCATTTGAGGTAGCTGAGTCCTTTTTCAGCTTTCACATACAACACAATATAGTGATTAAGTCTCCAAGCTTCCATATAAAAAGTTCCATATAACAAATATCAAGATTACAGATAGCATCCAGAAACCATGAGCAACAAGCAGTCCTTTAAAGAATATTACTGATTGCAATTGGCAGCTAATGGTTGATGCAACATGTTTTGAATCTGTTCACAGATGATAATGTTGTGTGTGTTTAATATGCATTTAAAGTGGCCATAAATATTATCGCCATTGGCCAATAACAATACTGTGTGTTGTTTTAGCAGTAGAAACATAAACCATGCATTGCAAATCAATACCATTTGTTTTACTTCTTGCAGCTAGTGATTATAAATTATCATCATCTATTAATTACAGAATTTCAATTCTTCACTGTTTTGCTTTCCAGCTGTAATAAATGAATAAATGATACCCAGGTCTCTTCTTGAGAAGTGGGTTGACTAAATAACATATGAAGAAAAAGAATTATGGTGCTAAATTGAAGCTAATAAAGCCTACTGATGAGGAAAAGTGGTATGATCAGTTGATAATCAAAAAGAAAATGATTGTAAAATGAGAAACAAGTAGTAATCAAAGCTTTCAGTTACTCAGACATGAAAATGTAAATAGAGATTAGGAAATTACAAAACTTTTAACTAAGTTTCTCAGAGTAATAAAAGAGAGATGGAAAAGAATATTGATGAACATCAGCAAAGAAGCTGAGGAATATGGCGCATGGTAAATGGCATTAAAAAAGATAAACAGTAAGAACAAAAGAAGAAAATGCAAAAAGCCAAAAAATGCATATAAAAACCATACACAGTGACGCTGGATTTTATGCATGTAGCTCAAAAAATGACGGCCTGAATTTCAGAGATGCTGAGGAAATTAGATGTTGTACAAATCAATATGGACTTCATACGCTCACTACTTCTAAAACTCACTTGAGTGCTGATTAAACAAACTATAGAGACAATAGATTTTTTTACATTATATTTCAGGTAAGCGTATGCACACATTTACTTATGTATTATATAGTTTTCACTTTTTGCATATTAGTATCCGCCCATTAAATTTACTGTAAATGACACTGGAGAGGGATAATGCAGAGTTTCCATACAGGAAGGGATTTTTTTGAAGTATGCAACCCCTATAAATTTCCTGAAACCAAACAATTTATGTTTAATATATTCTGAATGAACCTATAACTTTTTTTTTTTTTACTCTCACTATACAAGGTAAGGTGGAAGCTACTTTAATCCACAACTCCAAATTCATTTGGAAAAAGAGAAGGCCTAGGGAACAATGGGCATGAGAACTGAATAATAAGATGTCTAAATTCTGTTTTCTCCTCTTTCTCCTGTTTTCTCAAAACACTTTGCGACAGGAAATATCTTTTTGTCCTGTCCTTGTACAGTGTGTATAGTACAATGGAGTTCACCTTATCCATGTCTAGGGCTCCTGGCCCACAATCCAGGATCCCAATCACTATGGTACTAAAAAAAATAATGACACCTATGTGCTGACAAACTAACACAGCAGGTGCCATGGGAAAGGACTAACATTGATTTCCTTTTGTCAGTCCGTGTATGAAAAGTGAACACAGATGGTTTCATGTCACAGTTTTGACTGTCCTTTCCGTGGAAAAACTTGTGTCAGACAGAAGATGAGAGTGAGTTTGTGCATACCAGTACTTATTTTTCCAGCAAGGCTATCCCCTTATTTATCTGGCAAAGTGACAACTTCCTTAAGGTAACTTATGGCTTCAAGTCTGTAAGGATCATTCATTACAAATTCCTCACACCAATCTCATTTGGAATTTGTTCAGAATGCAGCAGCACTTTTGCTCATTCATTACAGTAGCTGGAAGCACATTGCAGCCTCCCTACATTCTTTACCATTACCTACTAATAAATGATAGACTAGTTATGAACTGTTAGTGTTGGCTTAGAAATGTTTTAACAGACCAGGTGCTGGTAATATTCCAGCTTCATTCAACAAGTTACTGATGTCTCGAAGCACCAACCTTTATGGACTTCCATTTAGATTAGCAAATATTTTCCTCCTTTGCTATGGAAGGCTGTGGATTGTGAACCTCATTTCTTACAAAATTGATCTTTGTCCACATTTCTCAAATACACCTAAAATATTCATACTCACTCCAAGTGGGGTTTTGTTCTATTTTTGGATGGTACTTTTAATTTTGGCATTCCATAACTCTACAATTAGTATGTTAAACTTAGAGCTGGAAGGAACTTCAGGAGGTCATCTGACCAACTTCATGCTCAAGGCAGAATCACCCCTGACTAAACCATCCCAGGCAAGTCTCTCTTTAACTTGCAATTAAAAACTCCTAAGGATGCAGATTCCACAATCTCCATGGGTAGCCTAAAGGAGAACGTTTTTCCTAATATCCAACCTAAATTTCTCTTACTGCAATTTAAGACCATTGTTCCCTCTTCTGTCTCATGTGGCCCCAGAGACTAGCCTATCAGGCTAGCAGGTAATTAGTGTTATTAAATTCCCCCTCATATCTTCTTTTCTCCTAATGAAAGAACCACCGGTTCTTTCAGCCTTTCCTTGTAGTTATGTCTCTCAGATCTCTAACCATTTTTGTTGCTTTCTGCTGGACTTTCTGCTGAAATAATTTGACACATCCTTCTTGAAGTGCAGGGCTCAAAATTAAAAAAAAGTACTTCAAGTGAGACCAAGTACCAAAATAACTGATTCTAAATATAGAAGAAACATCACTTCCTTAAATTTGATTAATTTTAGTTAAAATAAGTTTTTCTTACAATATTTCTGGAATGTTGCCATTTCTCTCATGGCTTGAAAAATAAACATTCCAGAGAGTTTTGGAAAGGATATTTTAGGCATGTATGTCATACAAGATGCAACATAGGATTTCAGTGAGACTACAGTCTTAATCTCATGTCCTCATTCCACCAGAAGTAACCACTAGACAGTAGCATTAAATGGTAAGCATAGAAGGTAGGAAGGTAGCAAGCTGTACACGAAATCGTGAAGAGTAACAACTGTGAAACTACATAGTTTGTCTACATGTTAAAAGTGGAACGTAAACTTCCTCAAAAAAGTCTACCTCAACAAAAAAAATCAATAAAAATCAGTCCTCTAGACAAAGAATGAAGTACATGTGTTAAATTCACCGACTGATTTCGAAAGTCAAGAACTCTTCATCACAAACTGTGGTAAAATCCAAGACATTTGTGAACAGAAACATTTCTGTGCAGTGATTGATGGAGAGTCCTAATGATAAGTAATAAAACCAGTTTTGTTCACTTTATACATCACTGACCTGGAAGAAGGAATGTGCAGAAAGGTCAGTAAGTTTGCTAATTAAACAAAACCAGAGTAAAGGCAGGCAATTCAAAGGAAGAGTTAAAATTCATAATGATTAGAGTGGCTTAGAAACAGAGGAGAATAAGTGTCTTATGTAATTCAGCCTGCAGACATGTGACATCAATAGGGTTAAGAATACATGAATAAACTATACGAAATCTTTAAGGCTCATATATCACAAATACAAGAAAAATCTAAATGCAGCAGTAGAAAAATATTGAATATTTGTATCATATCCACACATTTATTGGATGTATGTATTTTAAACTATAAAAATCCAGAAACACACAATGACATGTTAATATTTTATACAAGGCAATTTATTGAAGATCAGACTGAAAAAAGAAAAGGAAGAATAGAATTAAAATTCTTCTGGCCATCATGCAGTTTGTTTTTTTTTCAAGAGCCAAAGGAGTAAATTTTTGTTTACCAAATAACTAGAGCCAACTCAAACTTGTATGGGACTCAGACTCCACCGAGCCATTTAATACACTGTTTTGCTATAAAGTCAAGTTGAGCAAGAAATGACGCTTATTTAGAGAACTTTCAAAAGTGTTGTTTAATCACTGGCATTCAGACCTACAGGGAATAAACGCTCCTTTGCACATGTTCCTACTTACCCGCAAGGTCTGTATGTAAATACAATGTAGCTTTCTTCATCACTGCGTTCAATAAATGTAACACACGTGTGTTTTTCCCAGTGTCGCATTGCCTGTTTGAACATTGCTCGCTGGCTGCCTAGAAGAATTGTATGACATGAAATTGACGAGATTTTTAAATTTACGTCCTACTTCCTGGTATCTGATTCTAATCTTATGACACTGATGCACACTCCCAGAAATGAGTTATTTTGAAAACAAAGAAAACTTTTAACTCCGGTTTTCAAAACTAAATGAAACAGGAATTGGTTTTCAAATGTTTTTCTTTGTAAACATATATGCTCCTTTAAACCGTATGAAAAAGACTACTTTTTTTTTTTTTTCCCTAAATCAGACCCGGCTTTTACACTCAAAACCACTGAATGAAGAAACAGAGCGTCTGTAAAAGAAGGATATATCAGAAGATATGTGCACATATTTCCAACATTTAATCTTATAAAGATTGAAGATTTTAATTTTTAATGCTTGGAATGCAGACTGCGTTTTAATAATCTATATACAGTTTGTTCTATTTATGCGAGTTATGTTTCTTTTTTACCTTAGTGAATATGAGAGTAAAGTGTTAGTGAGAGAAAATTCAGGGTACCCATCAAAAGGTTATGGATATTTGATAAGGGACTGTACTGTATGAAACCACTCCATTAAAATCAATGGAAGTTCAACAGTGACCTCAATGAGATCAGAGTAAACTCCAATGCACTTGTGAAAACCCCATATTCTGTAGAATCAGTCCAACATAACAAAGACTACCTAGATAACAGCTGTGCACAATTCCTCCCCCAACAGCCCTCTACCAGTGTCTAAACCCTGATCTCAGAGAACTAGGTTGTGAGAAGACAGGTCACCATTCACTTTATTAAATCCTTACCCTCTTTGAGACATTGCCAACAAGATTGCAAATTACAATCAGTTGTGGTAGCAGGGGCTTTTTGCTTTGTTTTGTCCAATGGGAAGATTTTTAAACTAACAAAGCTTTATAAACCCATCATATGGTAGTAATTTTTGGCCACTATAATTGGGCTGAATTCAAGTCAGTGCCTCAAGGATGAAAAAATTAACATGGTTCCTGTCTTCCCAATTTGTTTCATTTGCAAAAGCTTGGGGATTTACCTTTCACTATGAAAGGAGTGTGAAATTTCACATTACATGTTTTCATTTGTTTGTTCCACTTTCTTTTGGATCCTGCTTCTTCTAAAACAAAAGGTCATGTTCAGTATGGCGTTGTATAAATATCCATGCTGCAGGTTTGACCTTCAGTTCTCAGTTTTGGGGGTGACTTATCTGAATTTCTGTGAGCCTTTCTTATGTTTCCCAAAGCTCTTTTGGTTTTCTTTATCCCCTTCAGGCACAATTAGAAAGAACTTAGTGCATATCCAGTAGACATAATTTTCATTGTACTCTTGGCTTTATATTTATTCTTTTCCTTTTCACTATCCTATTCTTCTTGATTATTATTATTAAAATTTTCCCCTTCCACTATTTTACTGTTTATTTGTTTTCAGTTTTATTGGGTAATATTTATTTTGTACTTTTATTATATTGCATTTTTAAATCTTATTATTTTAAAATCATTCTTCCCTACAACTTTTTATAGTCCATAACTATTGTAAATATCTGCATATACTCTTAAAAGTGTAATATGTTACAGGAAAAATTAATTTGACCCAGCTTGTTCCCTGCAGCTAGGATTCACAGAAATTTTAATGCCCGAATTTAAAAGAATTGTCCCCCAAATCACAAAAGTCAGTTATAACCATATACTAAATAACCTATAGCAATTTAAACAGATTTAATTATACTCTCTTACTTGGGCTTTTAAGACAAATACACAACAAAAATATCAAACAATGAAAAATGTTCTCTCCCTAAAACACAATAGCCTAAAAAGACTAAAAAATTTACTGATCCAAAGAAGCCTGATCCAGAGCCTCAGAAGGCAACAAAAAACATTCAACTGACTTCTGAGGACTGGGCCAGGGTCTTTGCAAACCTGCTCTATCAACTTCCCATTTTAAATCACATATCTTACCAGTAAAATTTCCACCAATTAGATATGGAATGACACCTCCTGGCCATATTCTCTCTGTTCGTGATGTAGCAGCCCTGGGATATCGGTTTTTCTCATTTTTTCCAGAAAATTTTACAGTTGCTCTTGCCTTACTTGTATTATTTTGCTCAAAGCCTGCAACGACAATTAAAATGCTGTAAAAGATCAAAGAGATCACAAAGCAAAACATGTATTTTATGCTTTTATCCGTTTTTATTTATGTACTCTAATAACTGAATCTAATTTTTACACATGTAATTTATATTTTCAATGTAATATATAACAATAATTTATGTTTTTAGTTGTGGAAAGACTCATCATCCTCAGTACAAGAATTTGTACAAGATAGGACCAAAAAAACAAAGAAATACTTTATCACCCTAAAGAAATTGCCAATACAACTGTTTCTAGATTATTTTAATGTGGCCAAAACACCTATACCTATGTTAAGCAAAAATAATTTAAAATTTCACTTCCCCAAAATAACTTCAATCTTTTAACATTAAACTCTTAGCTTATAATTACATTTTAATATTCTTCAGGTGTTAGATTGCAAGATAAATGTAGAATCCATATAGGTATATGTAGTAAATAATTATTAGTGAATCATCTGGTATGGCATGGACATCCTACCCTTATCAGCTTTGTTTAGGGTTAGAAGCAGGTAGACATTTATACAAAACTGAATGCCAATAACTATTACATAATTATTTTTGTAAAATTAAGGAAGAACCTAATTCTTATATCAAGAATACAGAGAGGTGCCACCACGCATTTGTAGTCAGTTGCTGTGCTGTGGCTAATCTTACAATAGATGCCATGATGCATACACGCGCAGACACACGCGCACATGCACCCACCCACCCACCCACCCACAATTGTGATTAAAATGTATTTTTATATATTTTCCTGAAAATGCGTTGGTTTTCATGGTATTACAATTAATATACTGCATCAAACAGTGGATAAATTCATTCAGTATTAAGATGGATTTCCAAGAAACAGCCTTCTGAATTTATACTAGCAAAAATATGATTATTTTCAAATGTTTTCAATGCAATGTAAGACATAATAAGTGTTCAAGATGCAATGGCTTACAGTGTCCCAAAACAAATATGCACCATTAAACATTATATGCAAGTTTCCATCAATGAATCAGACATGCAAACAGAGTATAGCAATTGCATCGGAAATGCATCACATTGATATTAGGTGAATTAATAATCATGAGTACTATTGTAACAAACATTCATGAAAAAATTAAAATAAAGTATTTTATATTCCAAATATAGCCCTCATAGGGCTTACACAGATATAAGAATTCTAACAAAATGCAGGTAGGCAAAAAGCTAATCTCTTCATTATTTTTGTTTTAATAATTTATAACAATACTTATATAGAATGGGCTTAAGGTGTTAAAGTGCTACCATTATCAATGTTTTAACTTCACATTACATCAGGCAGCCTTCTAATTTAAACAGTGAAAATACCAGAGCCAAATCTTCTTATCCTGTCTATAAGCTGATAAAGGGCACCTCGCTTTTTTGACATCCCACGCTCTCCAAAGCCACCTTAAAAAAAAAAGAAGAAATAGTATGGAAGTTAACAATACAATATGTTAAATGTTAATGTCTCATGAGGAAAATTAGGAATTACCTTTTTGGAATTGCAATGCATCTTTAAGGAAGTTTAAATTCTTAATGACCCATATACAAATTCTTTAAGTATTCTTGACAAAGAAACAAAAACACATTTGTAGCTGAAAGATCTTCAAACTTACATTCCAGAATGCAAGCCAACATGTCTTTGTTATTCAGACATGTCATGACAATTACATCATCTAATTATTATTTGAAGCTTTTTTCTTTCTGGTGACCTTGAGATCCTCAGTGTCACATTGATTGACAGGTAGAAGCCCTGCTCTCTCAGAAATTTCCTGAATGCATACCACAATTTTCCCATTTCCAAAGAGGAAAAAGAGAGACTGTTACTACCCCAAGGTCATCACAAAAATTAGAAAAAGAACAGAAAAAAGGAAAAATGGTTGACTTTCTCCCAAAAGATACTGGGTTCTTTCCTTAGCCTTCAAATGGATCTTTAAAACACAGCCAGTCATACAAGGCTGGCTGAATTATAAAATATTTAAACGTGACTTCTGAGGCATATCTTTCTGTGTAGTTACAATAATCAGTAAGTTAGAGAAAAGCAGTTAAAGATAACCGCCCAAAGAGGCAGTTGGATTTTTACTGTCTTAACATTTACCATTCCATGTACAATTGTGCTCCAGATTTCTATTGTATATATGGTTAACATGAATCTGCTGAATACTTCTTACAAATTAGTTCTTTTGTGAATATAATCACAATCACTTTTAACAGGGTTAATAAGTGAGAAAAGAACACCATGATGTGCACTGAATACCTGGAAAAGATAATGTAGTTTCAGATAACTTTATAAAATGCCTGTAAATTCTTTTGTAAGAAGCAAAATTTACTATGAAACATTACTGTTTTTAAGCTACTGTAATAGGAGAAGAATGGTAGGACCAAAAACACTGCAGGACTCATAATTATCTGTAGGTGTGGATCCTCCAACATTTCCTCAAAGCCTTTCTCCTCCTAGATTTCTTTTTCAGAATAACAGTATAGTGACATTATTTATTAAGAGCATATTTACTAAGTGGCAGTTTAAAAAGCAAATTAAAAACTAGACAACTCCATGTAAGGCAAGCAAGAAAGTGTGCCTGCTCAGTGAATAACAATGTGCCTAATTATTTGGACTACACTGTCACATAGCTGCTGGATCCCTTGAGAAAAATTTTCTAAATTTTTAAAAACATTTTAGGGAGATGAGGTAATACTTCAATACATTCCTTCCCAAGAAGTTATTTGGTTAACCACAATATATTTTGTAAAACATACACATATTCTGTATTGCCTATTATCAATGCATTATATCTCATGTTAACATTTATTTTGTAAAATATTACATATACAGTAAAAGAATTCAGATAATTATGAGAAAAAAATCTTTAGAAAACAGAATCTATAGAAAACAGGCAAATGTCAAAAGAGACACAGTAAAACAGAGGAAGCCATGTTTTTATCATATTATGAAGACGTAACCCCTTAATTATTTACAAAATATTAAAATAGAAATAAGGAATAAGTTTTCTACCAGATAGTTACTTTTGTGTTAACACACACAATTTATTGCATTTAATGAGCAAAGGGCCTCCTGGAAGATAAGAAATTAATAAAAGGAACAAAATCTTTTGGCAGACATGTTAATAATCTAGACATGGTAGCTTTATTCCTGATGTTGCTGCTCCTACTTTTACATTATGTGGATGCATTTTGTTTTATAGGCAAAATAATAGAGCTGTGCCTCAAAAGGTCAAAAAGTAATGATCTAATATTGCAAATTCACATAAATAAACCTCATTGAATTTCCATCATTTGAGTCCAATTTGCAAAATCATGCCCTACATTCATTATTTGCAATGCAAGAGCCAGATCCTGCAACCAGCATCTTAGTAACTGAACTCCCAAACATATAATTTTTTTCTCATGAAAATCAAATTGTCTTCAGTGGAAATCTACACAGAAGCAACTATACTTAAGGAACATAACTTGTGAATTCAGTGTGAAATTCTTTTTTTTTCCTAATTGTGTCAACTATCTGCATCCACAGTAAAAATAGCAAATTTTTAAACAAAAAATATAATTTGAGTTTAAATCAGGTACTGTCTGATTTTTTTCCCCTCTTTAATAATTACTTGTATTTTCTTTTCTTATCTACTGGGCCATGTAGTTTTATAAGTAGATGGTGGAAGAAAAAGGTATAAGCATTGGCTCTAATTTGGCATTGCATACAAGTGTATGCTTAAATTTAAGCACTCACTCAAATGCCATTGAAATCAATGGGATTTACCTCTAGGTTTAAGTGTTTTGCTAAACTTGGGTCAAAGTACGAGTCTTTATAGTGTAAGTGCAATCAGAATTTTCAAGGTAAATACCCCAGCTATTAAAAAGGATCACTTCACTTGAGGACCAGTTTAAGTTCCATCGACTTCAGAAGCAGTTACTTAAGCACTTTGCAGCCTAGTTTGCCTTTCATTATTCTAAATAGGGT